CAGCAAGAGGTTCCCTGTGATCACTGGCCCCTGACATGTTCCAGCAAGAGGTTCCCTGTGATCGCTGGCCCCTGACACCTCCCTGGCGTGGGGGACGCAGGAGGACAGGCAGAGAGAAAGCCCAGGGTCCCCAGTAGACAGAGCAGCTCTCTGTGACCTTCCTCCTCTTGCCCCTGCTGCGCTTTGTCCTCCGGAGTCTCCTGGCTGGGTTCCCCGGTGCAGGGGTTTGGGGAAGGTCTAGAACCACTAAAAGGAGGGGTCATGAGGCCATTAGGTCCCTGGCAGTGCCTTCCTGAGGGATCAATGCCGCACTCCTGGAAGGTTTTCATTTATTGTTTTTAATTTTTTATTTTCTCTCTATTTTTATACTGGGGACTTAACCCAGGGGCACTCTACCACCAAGCTATGTCCCCAGCCCTCTTTTATTCATTTATTTATTTTTAAATTTTGAGACAGGGTCTTGCTAAATTGCTGAGGCTGGCTTTGAACTTGCAATCTTCCTGCCTGGGCCTCCTAGGTCGCTGGGAATACAGGCACCATTCCTGGCTGGGAGTTGGCTCTTGATAGAGCAAGTGGTTATAAAAAGAGCAAGCCTGGCCCCTGAGTCACTCTTCCTCTCACCCTGTGTTCATGTCCCCTTGCACGCCCTCCTGTCCTGATGCAAGCCACGATTATGTAACACCATCAGGGGGACTCTCACCAGAGGCCAAGCAGATGCAGTTGACCAATCTTGGACTTCCTGTGAGCAAAATAAAACTCTTCTCTTTATAAAGTACCCAGCCTCAAGAATTATGTTATAGCAACAGAAAATGGACTAATTCACCCTTCTTCCTGCCCTGTTTTCTAAATCCTGTGCAGCCCACGCCTGCATACCGAGAAGGCCCAGAGTGCCTTCTCTGCTATGTAGCCTCCATTACTGTAGTCTTTTCGGCAGTATCAGCCATTGTCATGTGAGATAATAATTTCTTTGACCCTTTTTGCAAAACTCCACACAATCCTAGGAGACAGTAGAACCTCAAAGACAAATTCTGATGACTCAAATTTTAAAATGGTGCTGTGGTTTTGAGTGAGGAATGGCTACACAAAATAAAGCCTTGGTTATCTTTCTCCTAGACAGTGGAGACATTCCTGCATTTGCTTAGCATTTCTTCTGCTTTTCTGCTTGCAGATATCTGAGGTCTCACTTTTTATATTCCTATCCCAGTTGTTTATCTTTTTAAAAAAAAAATCTGAAAATTAAATTCACAAGATTAAATAGCTCTGCCTTTTGAGACCAAAAGGAATGCATATGTTGTCCATGAAGTGGCACAGAAATTCTGAGGCCATTCAGACACCGGCATGGATTCTGAGTGTCAGAAAACAGGGATTCTTCTCCTTTTCTCCAAGAATGAGACCACAGCCAAAAGCCTTTCCTCGGCTGCTCCCGATCTCCATGTGCAACAGAAGCCACGTCAGCTCTGCTCACCAAACTTTCCTGTTCCACGTGGATTTTGCGATTTGAAGTACAAAGTGCTTAAGGAAACAGATGGGGGCTTGGCTTCTATCTCTGATTCTGTCATTAACTTGCTTTGTGACTTTGGGCAAATCATGCCCTCTGGGATAAGCTCATCTGTAAAACTCCAGGCACTGTCCGGAGATCCATTCCCAGGGGCTTCAAGCCCATGCCGGAGACGCTGGACTCCACTGATCCTCCCCAGCGACTGACCACCTGGCCAACTGAGGGACCTCACTCCTCATGTGCTTGTGCATTTGACGTGTGTGACATCAAATGTGCCCCTGTTCAGAGTTTTGCAATAGTCTCCTGTCTTTCCACGCGGCCGTTAACTCCTGGGGCCGAGTCCTGGCATTCTGATCCTTCTTCATCCTTGAGCCGCCCGGACCACCCAGACACGCTTCCTGTCCGCCCAGGGCCTCGGCTCTCCATCCCCTGACGGAGGATTGCTTGCCTAGCCAAAGTGTGATTTCCAAAGAAAAGATTCAAATTCTAGACCCTCTTTTGCCTCCCGAAACAAAGGAAATCCTGAACGCCAAGAAAAACCAAAACGCAGAGAAAAATCAAAACTGGAAAAATACCCAAAGCCCTCCCCGTGCCTTGTCCCCGTCCCCTCCCCGTCACGCCTCATCCGTCTCATCAGACCACGTGGAAGTGGGGCCGGCAACTCACAGATGAAGCACCCCGACAACAGGGTGAACAGGTGCGAACCTCCTGTCCTTGGGAAGAAGCGATCCGAGGCTGGTTTCAGACCATGAGACCAGCTCAATGGCCCTTCAGAGCTGGTGCTCCGGCAATAACCAGCCGGTCACCAAGACAGCCTTAATCCGCCAGGATATGGAATGACAGGAGACACCCCAGCCACAGGCCCCTTCTTAGCTCCACAGCTTTCTAGAACTGTAGTCAGACTCAGGGTTTTTAAATGGGGGTGAGCGGAGACCAATCCTCCCCACGAACTCTGGGTTACCAGTTAAGCTCACTGGTTCTACACCGTGGATGAACCACTGTCATCACCAGGTTCTGTGGCCATCTGCTCTCACTCAGGGGACAGGCCTGCCTGGCCAGCCCTCCCCCACCCTTTCTCTAGCTAGAAGGCAGGAGCAGCACCAGGACACGGTAGGGGGAGACGGTAGGCAACAGGTTTCCAGGCCAGAAGTCAGATACCACATGAATCTGACCATGTCCGGGTCAGTGCTCCTGTGTCCACCCACCTCACGTGGCAGCTGGGGGCTGGTGCTGCTGGAACAGAAGAGGCCAGAGAGCTCTCTGGATCCACCTTCCATTTCCAGGGAAGAGGAAGATCCTGAGAGGTTCCAGGGAACTGTGGGTAGAAGACCTCAAACCCACTGACTCCGAGTAGCTGAGCAACACAGGAGAGGAAGGTGAGGTAGGGACCAGAGCCGGGTGGGCAATGGACCCTTAAGTGACCTCAGGGTGAAGGCCAGGGCGTGCGGAGCTCTCCTAAACGCAAGCTCAACCGGCTCTTTCAAGGAGCAGCGTTGTAAGGGGACAGTCAGGGCTGGCATGTGTCGGCGGCCACAGAGTTTGATACAGATTATTCCCGCCGAGTCCTCACAGTAAACCTGCAAAGCATATATGCTATGAAATCCCTACTTGAGGAAAGGAAAATAAAGCTGAAGAGGTCAAGGAACTGTTTTCAGGCCACAGGATTAGCTAGTGCCTCCCGAGTCCAAGTCCTTTCTGCTCCGGCTTGTTTGTTTTCAGTGACTATTACTGGGTTTGTTATTTTTTCTGAGTATAAACGTACATACCCAGGGAAGGAGGGAGCCAGAACTTCAGAGCTAGTCGGCCTGTCTGGCCCATCTTAGCACTTGGCCAGTGACCTCATTGATCAGAATATTCCCTCCTTTCCCGATCCACCAACTCCCAGGGACGGGCTCCCACCCAGGGGCCGCCGTGCAGGCAGAGCTCATCAGGCGGGCGGTGGCGAATCTGCAGCCTGGATGCCGGCAGGACCCACGCCTCCTGGACCCGAGCCTAACGCAGGAAGGATCACGGTCTCTGGTGGAAAACAGCCTGCTGCTAAGTTCTCAAGGTCATTCTGCCTAAACCGATGACGGGAGACAAAGTGGCCTTGGATAAGGGCGGCACAGGGAAGGGAGTTTCTGGGGCCCCAGCAGCAGTGGCAGCAGCAGCCGCCAAGCGAGAGGGAAGCCACGGACCAAGGCTGCCCAGAGGGAAGACGCACAGCTGAGGTCTCCAGCGGCGGCCCCCCATGCGCAGAGTCCTTGGGGCCGGTCTGCACAAGGGTTTCACAGCCACCATGGCTCCCAGGTCTGGCAGCTCTGGGTCAAGAGGGAGCTTGGCAGTGGGGGCAGGAATCCAGCAGAGGCTTGCAGACCTGAGTGACTTGCTCATGACCACAGGGCTTCTCAGGACAGGGCCTGCAGAAGAAACCCAGCCCTGCTTTCTGGGCCACCGGCCTCCTCCCCGGCACAAGGCCAAGCCCTCCCACCAAGGTAATTCCACAGAAGACAATAACACTGCCAGGGAGGGCCGGGAGCCTTTCCCTCCTCTCTCGGGGCAGGGGGTTCCCCTCTTACTTAGCACAGGGAGTGCCCCTCCTGCAGCGTAGGCCCCGCCCACTTAGGACACGTTGATGATTATTTCACAGTAAATTCGCAAAACATATGTTCTATGAAATCGCTGTGGGGCTACGGAAAACCTATCACACCAGAGGAACGCCCTTCCTTTCTAGAGTCAGTATCAGTACCTACGCAGCTGGGCTCAATCTGGTGAGTGGATTGCATTTCCCCCAGAGAAGACCCTGGGTCCAGAAAATGTCGACGGCACAGAACAGAACCAGGAAATCTATTCATAAGTGGTTTATAAGGCATCACAGGAGTTATTAAAGACATCAAGCGAAACGCCTGGTCTCGCAATTTGAAGGGGCCAATAGAAGAGAAACCTGATTCCCGTCCGAAGGTGTAGCAGTAAACTCTGTATTCCTCTTTCCATGGACTCAAGGAACTCGGGCACGGAGCAGAAAACAAAAGCACTAATAAAAATCTATGGGGCGGGGGGGACAAGGAAACTGGAGATTCAGTTTCCTTTTTTGTTTTTTATTTTCCCACAGTGGAAATATGATATTTGAGGTTGGTTAAGTTGACTTGTGAATTTTTTTGAGAAAGAAGTTCAGAAATTCTGCCTGAAGTAAACTGTTCATGTTGGTAAGGGGCTGGAAGAAAGGAAGTCACAGTTAATAACAAGCCATGTCAAGCGGATTCTTCCCTAACGGATAAGCGGGCACCATCACTCAGCCCCGTGGACTCAGCCCATCAACTACGTCTTCATGTCAATCAGAGGCGGCTGTCAGTCACCTTAAAATATTCCCAAATAACCAAATAAATATTTTATCAGATACATCCAAATTAAGATATGCCACATGCTGCCCTCGGAGAAGGGGTGGCTCACTTTATTTATTTATTTATTTAATTTTTATAAATATTTGTTCTTTGGTTATAGGTGGACACAATATCTTTCTTTTATGGGGTGCTGAGGATCGAACCCAGCGCCTCTCGCATGCTAGGCGAGCGCTCTACCCCTGAGCCACACCCCGGCCCATATTTATTGATTTTTTAGGGCTGGGGATCAAACCCAGGACCCCGTCCAAGCTAGGCAATTGCTCTACCCCTGAGCCTCACCCCTACTTCTCAGTTCCACTTAACACACACCTGGCATGAACATCGGTGAGTGTATAAAGGACACGGAAATGAGCACTACAGTGACACACTTCAGCGAGAAAGAAAGGCTCCCTTCATTCGTACTCTCCACTCTTCCCCGACGTCTTAAACCAAGGCCCCTCCTTTCCAACACTGGCTGACTGCCCCTTACCAGAAATGCCTGGGACCAGAGAGGTTCCAGGTTGCTTTGGGATTGGGGGAAATTTGCATATACGTAAATGGGGTAACTTGGGGGCTGGCACCCAAGTCAAAACATGAGATTTGTTTATGCCGCCCATCTTCCTTTGACACCCAGCCTAAAGATGATATAATAGAGGGCTGGGGAGGTGGCCCAAGCGGTAGCGCGCTCGCCTGGCATGCGTGCGGCCCGGGTTCGATCCTCAGCACCACGTACAAAGATGTTGTGTCGGCTAAAACTAAAAAATAAACATTAAAAAAAAATCCTCTCTCTCTTTAGAAAAAAAAAAAAAAGATAAAATAGAATATTTTAACAGTGTTGTGCATGACACAAAGGTTCCCACAGGAGCTCAGGCGTGGAACTTCCCATTCGGGGCGTCATGTGGGTGCCCACAGAGTTTCAGGTTCTGCAGCAGTCTGGATCTGGAGATCAGGGGTGACTACGGTTTGCTGAAGTATGGTCTGAGTTTGTCTTCCCAGGGTTCATGTTCTGGAACCCCTGCCCCCGCCCCATAGGGTAGCACCTCCAGGAGGTGGGGCCTGTGAGGTCACTGAGAGTATCGCCCCGGCAGGCACTGAGGTGGTTCTGTGAGACCCAGTCAGTGATCTCAAGGGACTTGCTATAAAAAGAATGGGGCCCCTCCCTGTGCTCTGGTTTCCTGTCTTGCCATGTGGACACTCCCTTTGTCACACAAGCTCCCACCACTGGGAGGCCATCTGCCATGAGGTCCTCACAAGACCAAAGTTGATGCTGGCCTCAGGCCCTTGAGCCTTCAGAACTGTGAGCTACATACACCTCTTTTCTTGATAAGTTACCTGCTTCAAGTGTTTCGTGATAGTAACAGGAAACAGAAAATGCAGGGATATGCACCTATTCTTTTGCAATAAATATGTCTCGCCACTCACCCACTTCCAGAAAGAGTATGCTAAGGAACCAAGGCACAGAGATGCAATTCCTCATCCCCTTAGAGCCACAAACTGATCAATTAACCAGGGCCAGAGAGTGCTTTCTATAAGTGCCAGATGATCAATGCAGGCCACGGGGCTAACAGCAGCATCTCCATCCTCCCAGAGCTGATGATTTAGGAAGTGAGAGTGAGCACTCTTCTAAACTGGCCAGAGAGAGATCAGAGGCTGCATCCCCCAAGGGTCAGACCACATGCAGCACAGAGTACTCTGATAGCCCAGAGGGAAACGTTAGGGATCAGTGTGTTCTGAAGACACATTATGGAAAAGAAAGGGCTTAAATGAGGCTTTGAAGGTTGGGCAGACAGAGGAACATTATGTCTTTCCACGGAAGGGGTTGGTGATTTCTACTGCTGTAATCTGTCCTGGGAAGTGACGGCACTGAATGGAAATGAAGTGTCTCACAGGATCTCTTGGAACTTACACTACCACGTGGGGCCTAGGATGGGGCTCTCAGTGACTTAGTAAGGCTGGCTGGGGTACAGGGGGGCGTGGCTCCCAGGGATGCTCTCCCACCAAGCTGAATCCCCAACTCTTCTATTTTACAACAGGATCTCACTAAATTGCCCAGGCTGGGCTCAAACTTGCAATCCTCCTCCTCAGTCTCCCGAGTCTCTGGGATTACTGGTGTGCGTCACTGGCCTTTGAAAGTTAGAATGCAAAATCGACAAAAGACCCGACAAGAACCTGAATAAAAACAAAGTCACAGGAAGAAAAGAGAGTAACTCCTCCCTCGTCCATGACCTCACTGAACTCGTTCACGTGGGAATTCATCATGTGACGTCCTGATTAGCCAGGGAAGCTGCAGGCTGTCTGCAGAGGTGAGACCAAGTGGTACTCACCAACAGACGTTCAGGAAAGAGGTAAGTTTAGAAAAGTCTGTGTAGGCCAGGTACAGAGGTGCACACCTGTAATCCCAGGGACTTGGGAGGCTGAGCCAGGACGATGACAAGTTCTAAACCAGCCTGGGTATGTTAGTGAGACCCGGTCTCAAAACTGAAAGGGCAGGGGGTGTAGCTCAGTGGTACAGCACTTGCCTAGCATGCAAGAGGCTCTGGATTCAGTCCACAGTAAGGAAAGAAGGAAGAGAGGGAGGCAGGGAGGGAGGCAGGGAGGGAGGAGTCTTTGTGGATTCCAGCACTGAAGAAGAGCTTCCTGAACTGGAGACGAGCTAGGCACGCTGCTAATGGACCTTGAACATCCCTGGCCAATTGCAGTATAGCTGCTCTCAGTCTGGCAATATTCCCTGCTAGATTCACTGGGTCCTTGTCCCTGTAAATCTAGTTTTCTGTTGCTAGGATCAAAATACCACAGATTGGATACGTTATAAAGAAAAGAGGTCTATGTTGGTTACAGTTCTGTTCCAAGGCTGAGGGGCTAAATCTGGTGATGGCTGAGTGCCAAGACGGATCAAAGCATCACATGGCGAGAGACAAGGAACACATAAGTGATTAATTACTTTCTCATCTCTATTCTGTTTTTTTTTTTTTTTGGTGGGGGGGTACCAGGGATTGAACTCGGAGGTACTCGACCACCGAGCCACATCCCCAGCCCTATTTTGTGTTTCATTTAGAGATAGGGTCTCACTGAGTTACTTAGCACCTCACTGTTACTGAGGCTGGCTTTGAACTCACAATCGACTTGCCTCAGCCTCCCAAGCCGCGGGGAATATAGGCATGCGCCACCAGTCCCGCGACCACTCCCGGCCCTGGTCTCACAAAGCCGTCACTCTTCAATCATGGGGCCCCACACTGATGACCTTACTGAATCCTAATCACTTCCCAAAGGCCCCCTCCCACTTAGTGCCTCACAATGGGAAGGAAACTCCAACACGAGTCTCAGGGGGACGAACCACATCCACGTCACAACAGCCCCAACTGCAGACCCACGTGCATTTTATGATCATGGTCTATCACAAAGGCTGGGTAATTGCCCACTGAACCAGCACAGACAGCAGCCTTCTGCCATGCGTGGAAGCTGCCCTGCCCACAGAGGAACAGTGCGGAGTCTGTAAGGTCAGGTGGTTAGGAAGGTCACCCTCAGGTGGCTGAGCACTGAAACACTTATGCCTTTGTATTCACGGTGCAGGCAGAGAGGCTCAGTGACCGCGCGGGCTCCTTACTGGTGGGTTAATAACTGTAATTGCACCTACTTTACAGAGTGTTGTAAGGCTCCGCAGTGGTTTCGGGCACGGAGGAGGGATTAGGTAAGCGTCTGCAGTTATTACTATCATTATTACTTTCACAATTGGCATGTTTGCAGCTGAGAAAAGACTGAATTAATTAATGATTACACCTACTTCCCTCCACGATCCCATATCAATGACCCAATTCCAGGGAAATGAGAGTCGACCGGTTGCCAGCCACACACTGTGTGGTCCAGGAAAGCGGGATCTCCCTCCACACAGACAGCTGCTCGGAAGCCCACACTTTGCAGAGGACGCCTCTGGAGCAGGACAGACAGACAGGCTGAGGGCCCAGGAATGGCCACTGCTACGCCCCAGCCCTGGGGGGACACTCACCACGTAGAGATTGCGCCAGATGACAGCCCATTCTCGCAGAGTGCACGTGAGCTCCTGCACCAGCGGGAGCTCCCCCGGAATCACGGTCTCGTTCTGCCTGAGAGAACCAAACAGACACTCCTTTTACTGTGGGGTGATCGGAAGTGCTTTTCTAGACGACATTCCCCAAGCACAGGATAGGAATGGGGACGCTCCGGCTTGAAATCGGCAAAACCTGCGCGTGGAGGGGACGTGTGTCGTGTAGGACACTTACCCTCTTCTGAGACAAAGGAAGCATTTCAGAACAGCACAGTCCCCCACCTGAGCTCAGGTTCTGCAGACTCCACCCCCCCATATGGCCTCGTGATGGCTTCAGTGATTCTCAGAAATGTAAGTGGAAAAACGTTATGCTCACTGGTTCCACCAGGGAGGACAGGAAGAGAGTGTGCCTGGCAAGAATATCCTGGGGCCTGTGACCTCACCCACCTCCTGCCAGCAGGGACTGGGGCAGCACCCGCTTCTCACCTGCTGCTTCACAGCACGGAAAACACAAAAAAATCCTCACAGTTACTCCACTACCTTTCCTAACATAAATCCCCTCCAGTGTTTCTATCATTAGCTAAAGAAAGAGCAATTGCCAGCAAACAAATGTGAGCCAACTCCAGACAGAGTGAAGGAAGTGTGTCAAGATAAATACGACTCGTGAAACACCTGGGGCACACTCACTATGGGAATCACAGAGGGCCCCCGGCTTATGAGGTTCAACTTCCTATTTCACAGCTTTATGAAGGTTTGAATGCATATCCATCCGGTCAACACTTTATTATAAAACAGGCTTTGTGCTAGATGATTTTTCCCAACTCAGGCTAATGGGAGAAGGCAGACTAAGACATGCAGGTTAGATGTCTGAGATGCATTTTCGACTTACAACATTTTCAGCTTGCAACAGGTTTATGGGGACCTAACCCCATCATAAGCAAATTTGTGAGTTGCAAATTTCACCTGGCAGCCCTGTTGGGTACAACGGGCCTCCTACTCTGCCTTTCCACCAATGTGGCAAATGACATCTGGAGTCTGCCCAGGAATGGCCCACTGGAAAGATGACTTCTCCAAGAGGGCAGGACACCTAGCTATCGGTCCTGGTGCCACCATCAAAGAGTTATGTGAAGCTGCCTTCACACATGGGCGCTGAGCTTTGGATGGAGAAAGTTCTTTCTGGCTTTGAGGCTGCAT